GTGGTTGTTTTAGTAAATTAATGTGTTATTAAAGATTTTAACTGACAAATTTTTAGTTAAGTTTTGTGTAAGTGATTAACGGAAAGAGTTGTAATAGTTTTATTATAATATATGCTAGTTACAATAGTTATATTATTATTAAAATATTCCTGAGTAATCTAAATATTATTTAGCCAGATAATAAAACTAAAAAACCAAATATAATTTGTTTATCTAAAAATTTTTTGTTTGTTAGTATAGTATCAAAAAACTATATTAAAATTTTACTATAAAGTGACTATACTTATCATTAAAAGTATCTAATATCTGTGATAAACCACATTGTTAAAAATCTTGTCTGACTAATATGGTCATTGATATCTTCGATTTGACATCATATCTATTGAACTGCAAACTCAAATTTTGATGATTTTTTATAGTGCTATTTCATAGTAGAACTACTAGCTTCTAATTTATTTGAGTCAGTAGTTAGTGGTGCAATTAATACTACAGCAGTTTGTGGTTCTTGTGAATAATATCTAACTTTCCAATTTTTATTATCCAAAATTTGATACAAAATATTATACGCATCTTGCCTACTAAAATAACATTTATAACTTTGTTTAGTAATTGAATATCATGTTATATATTTACCAAAAATATCCACAAACTGACTTCCTATATATAGAATAGTAATACATGTAGACTAGCCAAATTACTGTTATTTGATAATTTTTTTCGAATACTATATACTAAAATTTCTTTGAATTTAGCTATAGTATCTTGTGATAATATAATAATCCTATCTCATAGATGATTATAAGAACTATACATTATTTGATCATAATGAATAAGTTTTTGTTTATTTTTAAAAGACTTTTGTGGGCATAGTGAACAAAAAATGTAACTATTAATTATAGAATTATTCTTGTTTTTTGAGAAGTGTACTTGAGTTTGGTGAATTAGAAACTACATTCATTTTTAAATTTTTTTTTAGAACAAAGATTACAGATGATTTCAAAAAGTGGTAGTGTTAGAATAGCTATCATAAATATATAACTATAATTATCACAACTTGGATTTTAAAGATAAAGTTTAAATTTGTAGATTAATATATAAAATTAGCTAATCAAAATTGGTTAATTTTTAAATTCACCAGAAAATTAAAGATATACATGTAGTATATAAAAAAATAGGGAGTATTTACTTTATATATGTATTGATGAGGTTCAACAGATTGAAAAAAAAGAGTAAAACTAGTCAAAGGCTATATACTATATGCTCGATCATAATGGTAAAGAATAGGTCAAGTTCAGAAAAGAGATCGATCAATATCAAATTGCATATGAACCAATGAAAACTACTTTTAATACTCTTTTCTTCTTTAATGCAATAGTCTTAAACAACTAAAATTTCTTGACTCAACCCTTCCTACTATATATAGTAATCTTCTAATTCTATTATTTTTCTATTTAATAGCTAGTCTGCTTTGAGCAGATGGAAAATTACCAGCTAATACTGCTTCTTATATATCTTATTGTTACAATAATATCTGGTGCAATCTTGTTAATTTTCTTGGAGTATATCATCAATTCAGTTTGAATTACTTAGCTAAAATTGCTTAAAATATATTTTGTAAACTTCAAGTCCTTTAATTAAACTTATTTCAGTGATTTTTATTAGCTAGGCTTCACCCAATAATTAACAGTTATATCTATGTTTTTTGAATACACAACACACAACACTCACAAGCATCTATAATTGATAAATATAGGTTATTATAAAAGCCAAAATTCAAGAATAAAACCTAAATCTTTTACTTTTAGATTCAAGTTTTTAAACTAAAAAAAAATTAATATTATATATTAATATACTAAATTAAAAAGCTGAGTCAACTATATCTAATAAATTAAATAGCTAATATTCATTAAATAGAATTAAATAAAATACCTTGAATAGCAATACTTTTAATTGTTTTATTTAAACTGCTTATTATATATTACTACAGTATATAGATTGATATGATTTAGCAAATGGCAACTAAAATTGCTTTTCAAGTGAAGTTTTTTGAAAACCTGATCTTTTCTTTTGGTTGTTTTATATAGTAAATATTATACTTGTTTTGTAAAAAAATTGTGAAAGTTATTTATACGTAATAAATTTTAATTAATAAAATATTTATCATTATTATTAATTTTGAGATCAATCTTTTATAATTGACTAATTAAATAATAGTAATACAAATTTTTAGGGTATATATTTATAGCCTAATTTTGCTGATCTGCTAATATGTTTTAATCTAGAGTACAATATATATATATTATATAAAATTTAATTTAATTGGTTAATTTAATACTATAATTAAATTATAGCAGATATTAAATTTAATAAGATAATATTATAAAATATTATATAATATTTTTATATATAGTATAATATTTTATTTTATAAAAATAAATTTTTTACAAATATAAATTAGCAAAACTTAATATTATAAAAATTTTAATATATATATTTTATTTTATAAACTAAAAAAAAATTAATAATCTATAAAGTAATTTAAAAATTAAATAAGCGATATATTTAAATTTTTAATTTTAACTTATAAATATAATAAATTAATTAAATATAGTAATTTAAACTATTTTTTATAGATTTTGTAAAAATTTAATTAATATAGAAGTATAATTATAATGACGATTGCTATTTGTACACCAAGTATATATACACATATATATTTAATATCTCAAAATTCTGATTATATAATAGCTTTTAGGGATCTAACAAAAAATATTCCTTGCAAAATTTTAATATAAACTATAATCTTCTTTAACTCTAAAGCTACCCTCACCCTAACCTTAAACTATACTAATTTTTGTTTATAATTTATATATTACACAATTCATAAATTAATAAATTAGTATATATATGTATATATATACCTGGTATAAATTAAGAAATTTTCAATTATAATATAGACTAAAATATAAAATTAAGAATTATAAAATTTATAAATTTTATAAAAATAGTTAATAAAAAATAGCAATATTATAACTATATCATAATTGTTAAATAAAATTAAAGATCAGTTTGATAACAAAATAAGTATTAAAAATTGTTTCTGAATATTTTTATTAGCAATAAATGTTTTAAATAAATTTAAATATTTATTTTTTGTAAAAAAAAAAATTCTTAAAAACTCTTTCCGTAAATCCTTTACACAAACTTAAATAAAAATTCGTGCATCATAAATTTGCTAATATCTCAATAA